TTTCCAAAAAAGAGTCACAATAATTCAGTGGGAGAGAACAATCATTTCATACAAAAAACCAGGACAATTGTATATTACACATGCAAAAATATGACTACAACTGTAAAACTACATCATATGCAAAAAATAATTTGAAATGATTGACAGAACTAAATGTGTGAAATCTTTTATAACACATGAGAAAACTTATATAACCTAGATTTAGAAGGAAATCTTCATTACAGAACTAAAAGAAGCAAAACATATCAGGTAGATTTCATTAAAATCACAAACTATACAGTTTCAAAAAGTGTCATTAAGAGATATGTCAGTGAAAATAGTGGAATAGGGACCTCTGAAAAGTCTGCTCCTCAAAACAGCAATGTAGTAGAAAAAATTTCAGAACCAACTTTCCTAACTCTGGAAAAATGAAAGGCTTGAAACAATTTGGGTATAAGGGTACCTCTTTAGGAAAAATAGCTGTATCTCTGGAAGAAAAATGAGTTTGTCTGTTTTCACTTGCCACATTGCCATCCATTTTTCCCCAGGTCTATTAAAACCTTGAAAACCAATGATATATAGTCAAAGAAAAAACCAAGAGCACAGCAGACACTAAAGGGGAAAGAATAGTGTTGGAACTTATTGGGAGCACCATTTTCAGGGACCACTCATTACTTAATCTGTCTGGTAGTCTCTGGTGAAATCCCACAAGCAATACTGTACTTGACCAGACTCAAAATTCATGTGTGTATACCCAACAAGTTAATTAAAATAGTATACTGGAAGAACCAACTTACAGAAAAGAAGGAATAAATAGAAGAATAAAAAGAAAAAAACTTAGACAAGACACATAGAAAACAAACAGTAAAATGACAGATATAAATTCTAATCTTAGCAACAGATTCTACTTAACTATATTAAAATAAATGAACTAAACACTTCACTCAGAAAAGTAGAGTCTTGGATGAGTTGATTGAAAAAAGGAAACATGATCCATCTATTTGTTATCTGTAAGAGAAATTCAAGATTAAAAAACACAAACAGATTAAATAGAAACAAAGAGCAAAGTAGAGCTGAGTTTTTATTTTAGTTTAGTTTTGTTTTTTTGAGTCAGGGACTCATTATGTAACTAGCCGAGGCCTGAACTTGCAATCCTCCTATCCTACCTAGCCTCCCAAGTGCTTGAATTATAGACATGCACTACAAAGCCATCTAGAGCTGTGGTTTAGAAATTTAAATTTCTCACTTTTAAATTCATTGGACTAGCTAAAGAACTGTGAATTTTGGTTTTTTTTTAAAGAAACAATTTTTGATTATATTGATTTTCTCTCTTTTTCTTTGTTCACTTTTTTATTCTAATCTTTATTTAATTTCTTCAGCTTCATTTAAGTTTAGTTTGCTTTTCTTTTTGTAGTTTCTTACAGTAAACTTTCAGTTATTAATCTGAAATCTTACTTTTTCAATAAAGACATTTACAACTTTAAATATGCCCCCAAACACTATTTTTATTGTATCCCCTACATTTTGGTATGCTGTATTTTTATTTCATTCATCTTAAAGTACTTTCTAATGCCACTGTGACTTCCTTTTGTGACTATCAATTATTCACTAGAGTTGTTTAATTTCTACAGAATAAATGTCCTATATAATTTTCAAATTATTGGATTCTATTTAATTTCACTGTAAATAGAGATGGCAACTGTATCATCTTTGACTTATTTATGCTCTTGGAAACTTTTAATATTTTACAACAAATATTCATGATAAATAGTAACACAAATATGGCCAATTAACTACAGATGAAGAATAGAAGAAGGATAATCTTTAACAGCTATATACTCTTCAAAAGGCAAAAAAGTGAATCTTATTCTAGCTCTTGTCTCTTATCAAAACATCAGGTCAAAATGAGAAATTTAAATGTGAAATGTACTGCTATAGACTTGTTAGAAGAAAGGACAGGACAAGATTTTTATGAACAACTACTAGGCAGAGTTCTTTACACACACATACATCACACAGCATGACTCACGAAATACACTGATAAGTTAGATTTTATAAGAGCTCAAAATACATGCTCTGAGGTGGAAGACTCACACAAAATTTTGCTAGAAGAAATAAAAGACACAAATAATAGACAGCCCATGTTCATAGAAGACAATAATACTGTTAAGATGTCTACACTAACAAAAGTATTTATAGATTCAATGTATTCCATATCAAAATCTCAATGTCATTTTTTGAAGAAACAGAAAAATCTACATTAAAACTCATACAAAGTCTCAAGAGACTCCCAGATAGCAAAAACAATGTTGAAAAACGAAAGCAAAGTTGGAAGTCTCACATTTCATAATTTAAAAAGACTACAAAGCTATAGCAATTAAAACAGTATGGTACTGGCATGAAGACAAATATATATAGCAATGGCACAGAATAGAGAGTATAAAAATAAACACACTCATAAGACCAACTTAATTTTTTAAAAGGCACCAAGGTAATCCATGATAAAAAGGACAGTCTCATCAACCAATGTTACTGAGAAAACTAGTTATCACACACAAAAAAAGGTGACATTGGATTCTTACCTTATACCATATATAAAAATCAAGTCAAAATAGATCAAACACCTAAAGAAAAGAACAAAACTATAAAGCTTAGAAGATAACATGGGGAAAAGCTTCAGAATATTGGATTTGGCAATGATACTTCGGGTAGGATGGCAAAAGCATAGACAGAAACAAAAGAAAAAAACAGACAAACTGAAATTCATCAAAGTTAGAAACTTTGTGTGCCAAAGGATAATAAAAAGGCAACCCATGGAACAGGAGAAAAAATATTTATAAATCAGCAGATCTGATAAGGAATTAACACCTGGAATATTTATAGAACTGTTACTATTAAAAGAAACAATTCATTTTAAAAACAAAAGAGATTTGAACAGACATTGCTCCGATACAAAAACATCTAAAAGTACATGAAAAGATGCTCACAGTACTAAGAATTAGGAAAATGCAAATCAAACCACAATGAGATACTATATCATGCACATTAAAGTGGCTATTATCAAACAAACAATTCCAGAAAAACAAGTGCAGCTAAGGGTACAGAAAAATTGAAATCCTTGTGTATTGCTGGTTGGAATGTAAAATGGAATAGTCTTTATGGCAAATAATATAGTGCTTCCTCAAAAATTAAAACACAATTACTGCATGATTTCACAATTTCACTTCTTGGTATATATAAAAGATCAAGCAGACATTCAAACTTGTTTGTATACTGACATCTACAGCAGCATCATTCACAATAGCTAAAATATGAAAATAATGTAAATGTCTACTGATGAGGGAATGGAATAAAAATGTGGCACATATGTACAATGGAATATTATTCAGCCTTAAAAGGAAAGAAATTCTGACATATGCTACAACATGAATACACCTTGAAGACATGATGTTTAGCATAAAAATAACCCAGGCACAAAAGGACAAATATTGCATGATTGTACTTATATGACATACATCAAGTAGCCAAATTCATAGAGACAGAAAGTATAATCGAGGTTGTTAGAAGCTAGTGGAGTGAGAAAGGAGAAGATGACACTTAATGGGTATAGGGTTAAAAAGTATTAGGGACGGATGATGGTTACAGTTGCAGAACAACATGAATATACTCATTGCCACAGAACTATACACTTAAAAATGGTTAAATTGGTTAATTTTATGTTATACACATTTTACATAATAAAAACAAAAATTAGTTCTATAAAAGACACTGTTAGTGAAAGAAAAGACAAGCTACAGACTGGGAGACAATATTTGAAAGTCACATATCCATTGGAAGTTTGTATTTAGAATATATAAAGACACTCAAAAGTCATCAGGAAGAAGATAAACCAATGATAAAATTTAAAATCTGAACAGACACTTTACCAAACAGGATATAAGGATGGTGAATAAGCACATAAAAGATGTTTAACATCACTAGCCATTAATGGAATGCAAATTAAAACAACGAGGTATCACTTCACACCTATCAGAACAACCAAAATAAATACTTAATACCAAGTGCTGATAAAGCTGTAGAGCAACTGGAAATCTTATACATTGTTCATGGGGGTGCAAAACGATATAGCCACTCTGGAACATGGTTTGGCAGTTTCATATAAAGTTAAATGTACACTTACCATATGACCCAGTAATCCCACTTCTAGATATTTACCTTAGAAAAATAAAAACTTATGTTCACAGAGAAACCTGTACAAGAATGTTCATATCATTATAATTCATAACTACCATAAACTGGAAACAACTTAAAATCACTTAAGTGGGTGAATGGACAAACTCTGGATCATCTATACAATGAATTGTATGACATATTTTGTAAAATGAATGAAATAGTAATACACACGATTTGCATGAGTTTCAAAGGCATTATGCTAAAGCCAGTATCACAAGGTTACACATTGAATGATCCCATTTATAAGACAGTCTGTATAAGAAAAATATACAGTGATGAAGAACAGTTGGTCAATGATTGCCAGGGATTATGAGTTGGGAGTGACTATAAAGGGATAGCATGATGGAGCTGTTCTCTCCTGATTGTGATGGTGGTTACATGAGTTTATATGATTTATAGTTCACAGAATTGTACACCCAAAAAAAGCCCCATGCAATTTTACTGTAAGTTCATTTTGAAAAATAAAATATTAGCTATCACTATCATCATCATCAACAGCTATACCTTACTGACTAATAAAATATTCATAATTATTTGTGAAATGGGATCTAAAAATCAATGAGGTCAATTGATGTCAGTAACTTAGAGGTAAATACAGAAAAACAATGTTGAATGTAAAAGCTTTACAACTTCTCCTAACTCCTCTAACATTTTATATCAGGATAATATGTTGTATCTGGATCATTTCCTATAAACATTATCATATACTGAATATGGAATTAAATAAGTGTTTAACTTAGAAGTCGGGAACCCTAAATCTAACACTGTAAGAAAACTTCTCGACTTGCCTTTTGTGCCTAATTTTATCTTCCTCTTCATTGAGGTCATGTACTTGTCTGCACTTGTCTTTTTGTGGTATGCTGTGAAGGTTTAAAGCAAGGAGTTTCAAAGATAGGAAACAGAACAGATTCATACATCCATCCCCACATCCCACCCAAATACCAGGTATTGCTCTAAGTGATTTACATGTATTATCTCATTTAATCCTAATAACCCTATAATGTATCTACAATTAATATTCTAATTTTACAAATGAAGAAATTAAGCAGAGAGGTAACTTTCCCAGCATCTAATACCTAGTAAGTGGGGGAGCCAGGATTTTTTCAAGCAGTTTGTCTCCAGAGCCCATATTTCAAATCACTATTCCATAGTGTCTTTCCACAAAAGGCTGTTCATTTATTCATTCATCTCTCTTTCCCTACTGCTCTGCCACGTGTATGGTCTGTTTCTAATAAATCATTCATTTTCATGACTTTAACATATCATGTAATTCTAAGCAGAGATGATTCCTAGTTCTATATACCTTGTTCTGACCTATCTCCTGAGCTTCAGTGCTTTCTTTCTAATAGATCCTCGATATCTTTATGTGATAATCCTGCTATTCTTGCAAACTCAACATGATTAAAATCAAACTCATCAACCTTCCTCAAAATTTTACCATAAAAGTTTTTCTTAATTTTGCCATTTGTTACATCATACAGCTTTGAAACATCTGGGTTCCCTTTGACACATTCTTCTTCATTGACTATCCTTTCATTCTCAGTCAACAAGTTTTACCAATTCTTCTTTTGTAATGTCTCTAATAACCAAACCTACCTCTTTCCAATTCTACTGTCATCACTCTAGTCCAGATCTTCACATTTAAATGACTAAAGAACTTCCTGACCATTCACTCTGCATCCAGTTCTATTTATTATCACCACATTAATCATTTTCAAATATGGCTTTTATCATGTTACTCCTAGCTCAAAAATTTATTAACTTTATTCAAACTTACAAAAAAGTACCTCTGCATAGCTGTACACAACCAACATAATAAAATCCAAAATTCTTAGCTACATTTCCAACATTATTGTTTACAACTTGCCCAGTCAGTAGTACTCATACCAACTATTGCAATTGTAATGCCATTACTTCTCCTTTCTAAATAGGCAGTATTAAAAGAATATTTAAATCTTACCTCCACTGAGAGGTGTTCTTCAGTCACACCAATAAAACTCTAAATTCCTACAGTACTTGGTAATGACATCTAGCATTGTTACTAGATGTTATATACTTATTATTTCTAACCACACTGTACTTGGCACAAGGTCAGGAACCATTTCTTAAACTTCTGTGACTCTTTCACAGTGCCTAACAAACTGAAGTGCTTAATTCTTTCTGGTTAAATCCATATTATTTATGTACATATTTTGTGCTATTATACGATTCAAAGATCATTTACAATCTGACATCATCTCCCCTTCCTATGTCATCATCACCCATCATTCCCTGCCATATGCTGTAGACCTACCCCATGAAACTTCTCATTGTTCCCTAGACACACCAGCTCCTTTCACAATCCTGTTCCTATTCATTCACTATTTGTAATACCCTTTCCCCTTCATCTAGCAAATGGGTGGTGATCCATGAAGATAGTATAAATGTCAACTTCTGACTCCCCCAACTAGACTTAGATGCTCTATGTTTTGTGTTCCTTCAACATTTAATTTACATCTCTATAATAATAATTTCAATGTTGTCATGCAGTTAACTAGGCATATATTTTTCTCTTTCATGGGACTACACATATTTCAACAGAAGTAACAGCTTGTCTTTCCCCTCCTCACTTCACTAATGCTCTGACGTTGTCTTTCTCTCAGTGAAAAAAACACATTAAAGTTAGTGAGGATCACATACCTTGGTAATAAAGAGCCTTAAGGAAAGAGTGACGATCAGCTCCCTGAAATAAAGACTTTTCTATTTCCATTTCGCGCCGGGTCAGCTGTTTGCTCTTTGAAAATCTCTGTGGCAAGGAAAGGATGCGCTGACGCTCTGATATTCTTTCTTCAATATCTTGAAGACGATTCTGTATTGCTTCAGGAGTTGCCTTCAGCTTTGTCCTCTGCAATCAGGGAAATAAAACAGCATACATCACAGCGCACACATGCTGAAGGTGAGAGCTGATGCCTCAATCAAGGGGGTGATTAGGGCCCAGGAACTCAAAGTATTTATGGAAAATGTTAGCTAGGAAGTTAATAGTTTACCAGTGTCCATGTCTTACAAAACCAAAGATTCATACCCAAAGCTTAGTTTTGTGAGAACTAAAAATGAAAAGTTTCTCAATGTCAAAATGAAACGATCCTGTTCTTTATCCTCCAGGAAAAAAAAAAAAAACAAAAAAAACACTGCCCCACTCACCTTTTCACCTGAAATATGGCTCTTCCAGATCATGATTTCTGTTTCATTGAGTCCTAATTCCCTGAGAGAAGCAGTCTCCTGGTCCTTCTCATGCAATGTTTGGAACTGGGACAAAGTCATAGTCCCTGCTGCTTCTTTCCCAAAGGGCTTATACATAGTACCAGGGGCAAAACTTTCTTTCTTAGAGACACATCTATAAAACAAGAAGATAGGAGTAATAACATCATGATGCTATCACAGTTCAAAGGAATGAGAGCTTATCATTATAAGAGGCACAAAGAAACTGACAATTTCTCTCTCATATTCTATTTCTAGGCTAAAGTATCATTGCAACAAAATAGAACTCCATCAATGTCCCCCATCCAGGACCAATGAATTGCTAAATCAACAAATGTCTATTAAATATTTACTATGCATAAGATGGTATCCTATGTACAGAGGAATGAATGTATATATATATATATATATATATATATATATATATATATGAAAGAACAGAAGAGAGGCAAATTAGCAATGATAATATTGAGTTACAACTGTTATTTTGGGGAAAAACAGGGCACTAAAAAAGAACTTAGGAAAGGTACTTGGTCCAGATGTAGTAGGATATAGGAAGTTTCTTAGAGAAAGAAACAGAAGCAAATCCCTGAGTAATACATAGAAGTCTGCCCCAAAACTAGAAAAATAAGAAAGGAGTGTTCTCTTCAGGTTTTAAGAGAGGCTCATCACCTAGAGTTGAGAGTCTATGAGTTTATAATACTCTACATGATTACAAAATTAATACCTACTCCTCAATGGAGACAGAAGTATCCAGTTGATGCTGAAGGAGGCTTTTTAGCTGCCTCTCCCCTTCTGTTTCTAGCTCCTCCAGGACATGTTCATCACTCTTCACACAGCTATTAACCCTAAAGTGGATATAGGAAAAGACACAAAAACTAGTGAGCAAAGGAAAAGTCACAGAATCTGACACCCAAAGTTAAAACATGAAAGTTATAATTAGCTCACAGTTTGTAGAGGCTGCAGTCCACAATTGGCCAGCTCCAAGGCAGGGTGGCTTGGCAGACGGCCATCACAGAGGATAACAGTTCATGGTGCCCCCAAGGAACCAAAAACAACAAGAGGCCTTAACACCATCTTTCTGCCCATTTTATGTTATCCAGACTGCTGAGATTAGGGCCGTGCTAAACCACTCAATGGACCAATTTGATAATCACACATCCTTAATCTCCCCATTGTGCCATGAATCAATCACATACTCGAAGTCCAGACCTCTGAAAAAGCCCACCTATGACCATGTGAGGATTTGGGAGGGGACATTAAAACACAGGCCATAATAGAGTCTGAAAAAACATTCCTTATCTATATTACCTGTCAATAATGTTTATCCATAGCCACTTCTTTAATGATCCACTGCCCTTTATTATTCATTTCACCAACAGTTACTCAGTACCTACTTACACAGAAGGCATTACGTTAGGCAATGATGGAAGTCAAAGACACCGAAGACACTTAAGAAACTTGTAAGCTATGTATGGAGAAATGTGTTTGTGTTGGGTGGATGCTCCTGAGAGAGAGAATATAAAACCTAATGATACAGATAAGTTTATGCCAAATTAGTAAGAACTCACTGAAGGAATTTTTTTTGGTGGTACTAGGAATTGAATCTACTATGACCTTTGCACTGAGCTACATCCTCAGCCATTTTTCACTTATCAGGAAGGTATTCTTAAACTGGAGGCAAAGGATTGGGTGTAAAAAACAAAAGGAAAACTGGGAAAGCAGGTATGAAGAGACAATACATACTGGGAGAGAATGGGAACTTCTTTTTATGTTGACTGTGAATAGCTTTAAATACACTAAAGGGACTAGACTTAAACATAGGTATTAGAAAGTAGCTTGCTGGGTGTGGTAGTGCACTCCTGTAATCCCAGTACTCGGGAGGCTGAGGCAGGAGGATCACTACAAATTCGAGATCAGACTGGGGATACAAAATGAGCCCGAGGCCACTCTGAACAGCACAGTGAGATCCTGTGGCAGAAAGAACAAAACCCCCCCAAAAAGTAGCTTATTAGGCATTTGGTGACACAGTACTAGGTGAGGGTTTAAGAACATGAATACGTTTATAATGTGCCACATGGATTAGAAATGAAAATAGAATAGTTATAAAACAATTGAAGTTTAACATGATAACAGTCACGACTGAAGTGACAATAGTGGAAATCAAAAGGGTTAGAAAACCGAAAGTTTTTGAAGGGAGAGAGGAAGTAAGGAAGTAATAACATTTAATTTCAAATTGTAACAAAAGGATGATATACCAGTGAAAGAAAGGAAAACTCCAGACGGCACAAATTGTTTAGGAAAGGAAAAATCAGTATTGTTACAGCCACATTAAATCAACTACATATGATAATAGATAGAAACAACAGAATGAAGTATCTTTGATACTTCAAAGACACTAAGTCTGAGGCGACAAGAAGTGATTGCTAAAATGAAAATGACAGATGAGAGAATTGTTACAATAAGAATACTCTGAGACTGAAACATGGAAATCTCAAGGCATTATAGGGTCAACATCTAAAGCTATAAGAGAGGAGGAAGTATCTAAAAGGGAGGCAAAGAAAGAAATATGAAGTCATACATTTTATAGCCTAGCCACCACTGTGTAGAAATCTAAGTAATGGTGAGCATGAACCAACTAAAATAATGGAAAATCCTTATTAGAGTATGAGAAAATACCAGGACCATTCATACATGCAATGATAGATTACACAAAACAAACAGAATAAACCAGTTAACTCCATGAGGAAATATTAACTATCTAGTACCTTCCTTATAAAATAGCCCTTAACGTGTAGGATTGTAATAAGATCTAAATAAAAACCCTTTAAATTATTTTACTTATTTTGTCTTTTTGAGATAGCATTTCATTATGCTGTTCAGACTGGCCTTTAATTTACTTTGTAGCCCAGCCTGGCCTCAAACTCCAGTGATCCTCCTGTCTCACACTCCTCCTGAGTGCTGGGATTATAGGCATGTGCCAGTTACCAACCACCACAAAAAAAAACCTTTACAAATCTAAGCAAAATTCATACGCTCTATAAAGAGTTGGTCTTGTTGGGGGAAATACTAAAGTATCTTTACAACTATTTAAGTATCTCAGTTTTTATTATTTAGAATTTCAGAACTTCTTGCTAAGTTTAAGGGTTATTTTTATAGTGACTACCCCATTGCCAAATACAGCAACACAAGTGAATCTCAAAAAGAAATGTTGAGTTTTATAAAATTAAATCAGAACAATTTATATAATTATGTGTCCACTTGTACAAAGTTGAAACTGGGTAAAAGTAGAAGCATTTTGTTCAGGAATAAATTGGTATATGGAAAATATTTTTAAAACAAAATAATGGAAAATTCTGGAAAGGTCATTTCATGGGAGAACAGGGAGGGGAAGAAGCCATCAGTGAAGAGACACAAAGAACTTCCACGGTACTACTCTGTCCCATTTCTTAAGACTGTAGTGGATATAAGCCTTTATGAGTAGTTTTGAACTACACATACATTATATACATTATTTTGTATATATGAAATGCATCATTAAAAATTTTAAGCTTCTCTTTAGGCATGAAAATCAGAAACATTTTTTTGAAGATATAAGGAACTGAAAGCACAAAAGAAAATTTCAATATTTTAAATTCATTCGACTATTCCAGAATGGTGATTCTCTCGTAAATACAAAACTAATTTAATGAGGATCCTTAAATGGCTTTCCGTTCCACCCATAGTTTTTAGGCTCTGGCTCTCAACAAGGACCATTTGGTTCAAGCGGCTATTTACTGCAGAACCAGTAGAGGGAACTATTGGAAGAAACACTTTTACCCTAACACAACGAGTCGGTTTTGTGTTTTCCTCATAAACCTGTAAAAGCAAAATATCACTTTCTTACTCTAAGATTTGAAAGCGCTACCTGGTTTCGTTACCCTGCCAACCTTTAGTACACACACAAAGCAAATCAATGCACCCAATCCTGAGCCCATCTCTGAGTACGAGGAGGAGGTAGGGCGGGTCGGGGAGGAGCTGGCCTGGGTATTCCCACTCCAGGAATGTGTTAGCCATGACCTTTTTGGGCTACTTCACACAGGAAGAAGCCGCGGCAACCGGCAAGCTCCTGAGGGCTGTGCCTGGAGGCCATTCTTATCGAAACCATCGCGCGGCCTTACTTGAACTTCACCCTTCAGGCCAGCGGGGCCCGCATTCCCTCCTCCCTTCTCCTTTGTCTTACGGCTCAAAAGAAACCAACTCCCAAGAATGTGACACACTCTTAACAGAAAATCAGAAAAGCCATTTTCAAAACAAAAGGTAGAACTCCTCTTTCCGCCTGCAATTCAGACAAGCCCTTACCTTTTCATGTTTCCACAGGCCCCTATTCTAATTTGAGTAAATAGGCCACGGACCTCAAGTCCCAGAATTCTACGCAGCAGATTTTTACGAGTATTGTGATGAAGCGCGGGACTCTGGGAACTGTAGTAGCATGGAGACGTAGTCGATATAAACGGAAAGAGAAAGTATGGAGTGACAAGTACATACTTGTTTAACAATTTACCGTAACACACTGTTTAAGAATTTCTCTGTACCTTCTATTTTAAAGATTAACACCTAAAATGTCCATCTCATCAACCTAGGAGTCACCTTTGACTCCTTGACTCATCCAGTATGTTTAAACTCTGCTCTAATTTCCCTCTAATTTGTTCCTATCAGTTTTCTCTTTCAAGGATTTATTGGGAAACCCTGCGGTTTCCGGTGAAGCCTCTAGTCCCACCTATAATACAGACTTATGCTTTCATTCAAAGTCAAAACTCAGTATGTACAATTATCCATAATAAAATTATCCGTATTGTGGATAAATTGTATTGGATCAAAAGAAAGGTATAATATAGTGGCTGAAATTATAAAAAATGTCTAGGAGAACAAATAAAAATTTAAAAATAATGGTCAGTGTCTCCAAGCAGGGGAACTAGATGGCTGATGGTCAAGAACAAGAAAAAAATTCGTTGTGTATTTTTGTGCAGTTTGAATTTTGAACCACATATCACTTAATTCATTCTTAAAGAGGGCTTTTCTTGTATCATGAGGACTCAAATTTTTAAAACAATACTTGTGGACTTGGGGGTCTACACTATTTGGATTTGAATCTTTGTTCTCAGTTACTGACAATATGACAGAGTATTTTGGAGGCAATCTGACTTTAAAGTTGAGTGGTGATTTCAGTTAAGTTTCTTTAACTGGTCTAGGCCAGCTTCCTCATATGTAAAATGGAGATGATAATTCAGAAGAATAGCTTGATTGTAAAACACTGTACAAAATATGACTTAAAGTCACTTCATGATAAAGTGGTTATATATGACTAAATATTCCAAGATGATCCAGTTGGCGCAGACTCACTAAGCGCTTTACATTATCATGTTCAGGTTAGAGCAAAAGAGCAATTACTGAGACAAAACAAAAAACCCTTACAACATCATTCCTCCTATGTTGAGAACTTTCAGAAGACTGAAAATACCATTAATATTAGAGTTATACAGAATCTACTATGTGCAAATGACTGTTCTGAAAGCACATACCCAAATAAATATCGACATGCAGCACACCAATTGGTAGCTTTCATAAGGAATAGGGACTGAATATAGGCACAAAAAAGTATGAGTCATATCATAGCCTACATCAAGTAACCCTATAAGGTTGTGGTGCTGAACTGATCAATCAAACTGTTCTACTGACACATTTGTGCATAAGAAAATGGAAAAATACAGAAAGGTTACTAGTATGTTGGAAAGATAGAAGAAAGATGAAAAAACATTACCCACACATATATCAAACTTGTATACTTCTAATAAAAAGTGTGTTGCTACTGAAGTGATATTACAAATCCACTAGGTGGGATGAGTGGAGTATGAATGGCTGAAACATACATAACTTGGAACTGAAACTAAAAACCAAGGTTAGTCACTTGTATATAACCGTAGCCAGCCCGAGAGGTAGGTATCAAGGGAAATTTTGAAAATTGTAGTAGAAAGAAAACCAGAACACTTCTAACTCTGCCAAACTTCTTAACTGAATGTAATAAGTTATTCTGTTTCCCACAGCATTCTTTTCTTCACCTTAAAAGAACATCATTGTATGAAAAGCTTTGAGATCTATAAATGTTAGTCATGGACACAAAGATCTTCCTATGAGGTAATTTGGCCCTAGAAGAATTTATAACAAGTTGAAAAATATTTCTTATTTGTCTTTCTGAAAATTTAACAAGGTTAACTTAACTAAGTTAGAAGCTCTTTAGCATAGACACGTATTCAGGATTTGTCCTTTTTAGGTTCTTCGTTTTCAGCATACTACTGATGAAGCAATTATAAATCCAATTGTGAAGCAATTATAATTACAAGATATGGAAGATGCTAAAAACAAAAGTCTCTTGAATTTACTCATAGTCCAATATTAGGAGCAAACAACTGTGGTATCTTTCCAATTTATTTTCTTTTTGGTACTAGGAATCTAACTCAGGACATTGCACTTGCCAGGCTGGCGCTTATGTCATTGAGCTATATCCCTGGCACTGTCTTTCCAATTTCTGAGATGAGATAGAACAAGTGTTGTTATGGAGAGAATAAGTAGCACGTTTTTATAAAACAAAAAATGGATAAACAAAATGTCAACATCACAAGTTTAATAATTCTCCTAATATATTAGCTGGTTAACAATTGTTAGAAAGAGCTCAAGTTGTTTGAGCCTAACAAATATACTGCCTTAACATTATAGGCAAAAATAGGTTATCTGCAAACTTTTGTCCAAGATTAAATGTGGTGGAGTAATGACCATAGCAAAACAGCCTCTATAGTACCTGGAATAGAAACACCTGGGAAACAATCACTAAAAAAAAGTACAGCTCCAGGAATCAAAAAAAAGCCAACAAGAAAACTTCAAACTTCATACAGAGAATGTGAATACAATGCAAAGAAAAGAACTTACCTCTCTGTTCCTGAGGAGTTCATATCACTGCTCTTATATGCCCAGAGTGGATCAGCAGCCCCAGGGAGAAAACAATGGACCAGCAGCTGTAGCTCCAAGAAAAGCCTATGGTATTGTAAGGTTCAATTACAGCATGTTTGTTTGTTTTTTTTAACTCTGAAAATGACTCCTCCCACATGGCAGGCTAGAGCTGGAAAAGAAATTCATTATGATCCCTTCCATACTTTGGAGTAATATAGTCAGAAATCATTTGGGGAAGGATTGATTTATTAAGACTCAGCTACTCTGGAATCAGAACTCACAATGATCTCTCTTCAGATCTTTCAATTCACCTTATCAAAATGCCTGGGTGGGAGACAGCCACAAGAGACAGTCATGGAAGAATGGGACAGGCACAGATCCCCTGAGAAGTTTAAACAGTAACATGCTCATGTTGTGAAGGACACAGCAGTCCTACCTAGGCAAGTTATTGGTTTTCTGAGGGACCTGAGTCTGAAAACGCTTACAGTAAGTCCAGCAGATGGTTGTCCCTCTCCTTGCCACCTAGTCTCAGCAGAGATCAATGGTATCTTTGTTGTGCCCATCTGGCAACATAATCAAGAATATACCTCGGCAAGGATGATTTCCATATCCTAAGGTGTCCAGGCAAAGGGGTCTCTGGAACTAAAGGGGCTCCACATGAGCCCACAGGCCATAAAGTTAGTCAGATGATTTGGGACACACAGAAAAACACAAACACTAAGAGTCCCTGAGTGTGAACATAACTCTAAGGTACACAGCACACCATTGACTAACCTCACTCAACAGGAAAGGCTGAGCAAGACTCAGCATTCACACAGCAGAAATTAGATATAAAAACAAAACAGTCCCAAGTTGTGACTCACTATTTCCTCACCCATATGTGGTGGATTGCAATACCATAGACTTTGGGAAAAAACACTCTTTCATTCATGTAAAGAGATGTTTTTGGACTCAATTTTTTTTGTGTTTTATTTTTTCATTGATATTGTGGGGTTTTTTTCTTTTACTCTTTTTTTCTTATTTTTCTTTTCTTTTTATTACTTTTATCTAATTCTATTAACTCTTTTATTGTTTAATCAGATTTTACCCCCCTCTTTATAATATTTTCTTTTTCAAATTTTCTTTCATTTTTTTCCTCTCACTCTTCCATTAATATTACTGTTAAACTGTATTAATTTTTAGCTATTTAATTGACTTACTATTGCTGAATTATTTTCTATTGTTAATGGTGATATAGATTTGCTTTAGTAAACAATGGCTTATGTATTTAATTTATAGTAGTGCCTATGTTATTATTGCAGATCCCTTTCTTATTAAGGATGGTAGAGTTTTATCGATTATTGGTTCTTATGGTATGCCAACAGCTGCTTAGTCTTTGATTCTATTATCATTGCTGATTTCTTTTTATTGTTACCGATGGCATACTAGCTATTTTAAATGGGTTTTTAATGTATACCAATCTCTTGCTTGTATTTGTTTTGTCAACATTACTGCAGTTCATTTTCTCCCTTCTGAGTGGTCCTGCCTATCAAGCCCCCAGAAGAAGACTGGACACTAGAAAGACTCTCATGTATTATGCTGAGTAGATTAAAGAGGGATTTAAACATTAAAGCATATCCAAATCCAAAGATATATCACAGGGAGACAGAACCTAACTAAAGCGATCTCACAGTAGTAACAAAGTTTCTCAACTCTAACTGGTCTTCAAATGACAGCACAAAAACAATGGAAAAATAAGAAAGCAAGGCAACGAGACCTCCTGAAAAATCCCTAACTCCCTAAAAGCTGATTTCCTGGACAATGAAGTAGAACAATTGTAGACAAATAACTCAAAAATCCAAATGACCAAAATGCTTGGAGAGATAAAAGAAAAAAACATCTAAGCTAATGCAGAAGGTGTCTATGAGTTCAGAGAGAGATCAATTAAATAGCTAAAAAATTTTTCCAGTAAAATATTCAACAGGCTAAAAAAAAAAAAAACAACAAAAAAAGTAAATGGAGTAATTTAGGTGAAGCAATGTAGGACATACATGACAATTTCAGAAGACAGTATAAAAAAGAAGCAAGCAGAAATAGATGATTTGGGAAAAAATCAATGGAAAAGATGAGTACCAACTGGACTAATGTGGTGACTGTCAGAAATAGAAGACAAGGTGGATACATTAGATTATAAACTCAGTGATACCCTGAAAATGACAAGGCATCACACAAGCTGAATCCACAGCCAACAGATGGAAAAAAAGCAAAAACAGAGAAAACAACTCCAGAATAATAAAAATAAAGGAAAAATTAGAAGACAACTCAAAAAGATTGACAAACATTATTCACCGAAATCATAGCAGAAGCTATTCCAAGTCTAGGAAAAAAATTCAATATTTAAGTACAAGCACATAGAATTCCAGTTAGCTATGAACAGAACATAACTTCATAATCATAATCAAAATCTCAAAAATTCAACAAAAGGAAAGAACACTAAAAGCTGTTAAGAGAAAAAGGGCACATAACCTATAAAGGCAAACCTATCAGAATGTGTTGTTTTCTCAGCACAAAACTTAAAAGCCACAGGGAGCCTGAAAGTAAAAATTTTCAAGTCCTAAAAGAAAAACAAATTATCAACCCACATGTTTATATCCTGAAAAATTACCTTCCAGACTGACAGAGAACTAAAAACTTTCCACAACAAAGAAGTATATGACCACTAAGTCCGCATTTCAGAAAATACTTCAGGGAATCCCAAAAAGATATAGAAAGACCACCAGCACAAAAGGACACAAAGGAAAGTATATAGCTGATTGAGAGAATAGCTCAACAAAAGGAAAAAAATAAAGGAATCAACACCAGACAAATAATACAACGACAAGATTTAATAAACACTTTACAATAGTAACTCACCATATCAGTGGTCTCAATCCTCCAATCAAATGATAAAGACTGGCAGATTGAATAAAAAACCAAATATGAATATATACTGCCTACAGGAAAAAAAATCCAATTTAAAAGTATACATACTGAAAGTGAAAGCACGGAAAGCAATATTCCATTCAACTAGAGACTGAAAACAAGGAGTAGTATCTTATACCATTTTCAGACACAACAGACTTCAAAGCAAAAATGTCTAGAAAAGACAACCATGGCTAGCACGTTCTGGTAAAGGGAACAATTCAACAGGAAGAAATAACAATTGTAAACATACATCAAATGTTGGTGCACCTAATTTAATAAAATTAAAAGTATTAAATTTAAGAGAATAGATTTGTTGCTTTCCTGGCCATGGGCTGTTTCTCCTTTGAGAAGCCCCTCTGCTACTCTGTCCTGCTTTGGAGCCAGCTGACTATGAACTGGAAACCTCCATAAACTGTGAGGTCAGTAAACCTTTCCTTCCATAATTTTGGGCACCAAGTATTTTGTCCCAGCAACAAGAGAAAACTAACCAAGACAATACCGTAACAGCCTACACCTAAGATTTAATAAAGGTTTCAAAATTAGTTCAATTTTATTATAACTGTCAATTCTTCTTAAAATATCAAGAGGCAGTATGGTAACCATTGTTGATTACCTTGTATTTTGTTTTTACATTATCTATTATGTCCATCCTTTTAATTTGACTGACTCTGTTCTGATATATTGCATTTGGTTTTACTCTTTTCAAAAACAAGTAATAAGAACTGTGAGAGTAATAAAACCCAAAATGTGTAATTGTCATTGTAGAAAAGAAAAGAAAAGAAAGTGCTCTAAAGGTTGTAACTGCATATATGTTTAAGTGTATAACATAGATAACCATATTACTGAGTTTTTTTTGGATCATTGAACAAAACTGCACTCTCACTGTTTGAAAGTCCATTTTATATGCTTCAATTTTGTAACTTGAACAACTATTTCTAAGATGAGAATATGTAATCTATTAACTAGTGATTTCTGTTTATTTTTTAAATTTTGTATTGCTTGTACCTTTTTCTATTTTTTTCTTTTCCTCCTTAGATAAAAAAAAAAAAACAAAAAACAAACAAAAACAAAAAAAAACAAAAAAAAAACCCTTCTCCACCGTTGGTGGGAATGCAGACTGGTGCAACCATTGTGGAAATCAGTGTGGAGATTCATCAAAAAACTAGGACTAGAGGTCCCATTCAACCTAGCTATTCCCCTCTGGGTATCTTGGCAAAAAAATTAAAAAATCACACCACAGTGATATATGTGCATCCATGTTTATAGTAGCACAGTTTGTAATAGCCAGATCTTGGAAACAACCTAAATACCTATTGATTGAGGGATGAATAAAAAAGATGTGGTATTTTTATACAATGGAGTACTACTCAACCATAAAGAATGATAAACTGGTTACTTTTATAGGTCAATGGATGCACCATCAGACCATACTTATTAGTGAAATAAATGACACACATGTATAAACATCATCTTGTTTCAGTAGTGAGACAAGCCAAAAGAAAAAGTGTATGTATATGTTACGTATACGTACATAAAAATAGTTATGATAGTTAACTATTAATTTCTTTGAGTTCACTCAAGAGAAAGATTTCTGTTAGTATTGTTTGCACAATTGAATGCAGATGTCTTGTGCAAAAGAAAAGAAAAGAAAGTGCTCTAAAAGTTATAACTGCATATTATATAGGTGAATGATTTGAGGATGAAAATGCAAAATTTATGTACCACTGTTGTTCCCTGATTGACATGTTTTGAAATTATGTCATAGTTTTTTTCTTTTTATCCTTCAAATAAAATGGATTTACAAAATAAATTTAAAAGGACACATAGACACCAATACGATCATTATGAAGGTCATCAACATCCTACTCTCGCATGCAGGTCCTCCAGTTAAAAAAAAATAATTAACAGAAACCACAAACAGATTTAACAGATATCTAGTATTTTGCCCAACAACAGAATACACATTTTATCAATAGCAAATGGAACTTTTTCTAAAATAGATCATATTTTAAACCATAAAATGTGAAATAAATACAAAAGAAATGAACTAATTCTCTGCCTACTACTGGATCCTAACAGAATAAATCTAATAACAAACAGCAAAAAAGCCACAGAAACTATGCAAACAAATGGATATTAAATAATGTTACTGAATAATCAATAGACACAGAAGACATTAAAGATGAAATATACAAGTTCCTAGAATCAAATAACAGTGGAAGCACAACATACCAAAGCATATGGAACACAAGGAAAGCAGTTAAGAAAGTTATAAATGCATACATAAAAGAACAGAACTGTCTCAAGTAAATAACCTAATGATGCGCTCAAAGTGCTGGAAAGAGAAGAACAATGCAAAACTTAAACTAACAGACAGAAAGAAATGATAAAGATTGAAGGAGAAATTAGTAAGGTTCAGACATTGATACAAAGGCTCTATGACTCAAAGTTGTTTCTTTGAAAGAATGGAAAGGAAATCTGTGGGTTGGGCAAATATATGGAAGAGGTAGGGAGAGAAAGGAGAAGTAAAATGAACCAAGATGTGATATGAAGCAAGGTGTGGTGGCACATGCCTGTGATTCCAGAGTTCTGGAGGCTTAGGCAGGAAGATCACTGCAGGTTTGAGGCCAGCCTTGGCTACAATAGGGAGCTCAAGGCCTATCTGAAATACATATGAATATGTACCAATTCTTCTGGGATGAATGTATTTAGTATATATTGCAGTATATACTACTAAAAATTGATTTAAAATAAAAAATAAAATTAATATCTGTTCAACAATGACATGTCTTTTAAACACATTAGAATCAACTAGTAAGAAAGGATCTTAGGAATGAGTTACTTGAAGGGTTCAGATTCCACAAAATACACGAGATACCTCAGTAAATCTGAAAGCATTACTGAATTAATGTGGAAAGTAACTTACCAGCCTCTGGCATCTTGTACACACTAGATAAAAACAGAATTCCCAGGGCAGGTTGAAAAAAAGAAAATGCAACATGTACTTTTACATCCTCTTTATTTAGTGAAAAGACAAAGGAATTTCAAAACTTTAGGGAAATGAAATCTAATGTACTCTCACAAAACATTTGGGAAAAATCTAATATAAACAACGTTTTTGTTTTGCGGAAAAAATGTACTAAGATGAAATTATTTGTTTAGCTAATTAGGCAAACAAAACAAACCAGAATTTCTTTGAAAACACTGTATTCTCTTTATTGAATCCATATGGAATTTAACTTATATACTGATTAAAAGAGTTGAATCTCCAAAAAACAATTATACCTTATTTCTAAGGTATAGTAGTAATAATATTGAGCTAAAAGATTAAAGATTACTCAAGATTTTAATCAAAAGTAGTGTTTAATCACAGAAATCATCAACAACATTGAATAGTCTCTGGATTATCATTACATTCCATAGTTTTGAGTGATAACAAAGACTCACCAGGATAAGAAACTGCTTCTTGAAAAAGTTTAAATAAGAAAAAGAGAGGCCATAAAAATTCTAGAATTTTGTCCACTAATAAGACTAACTACCACTAATATTAATTTTGAAAACATTTTCTTCATATGACATGTGTGCTTCAGTGTGATCATGTGCAGTTTGGAAAATAGAAATTTAGCTCAGTTTTTATAGGAAAGAGACCTCCAGTGAGTTAAAAAATTTTAAGAAGTTTATTTGACATTATAGTTTTATTTTTTAAACATTAGTTCTATTGATCACTTATGTGGAACACAAGACATTAAAATGCTCTAAAACTTGACCAAGAACAAGGTATTTTCTTGACAAACAAATAAGCTAATACATGAAAGTCAACAAAACTCATACATCATACAATAAAACAAATAAACAAACAAACACCACTAGATCTCTTACAATAAAAAATACAGGAATTTACTGAATCCTATTCTTTTTAAAGCAACCTAATTCTGGGCCAGGGGTAGGGTGTTTGTCCATCATGTGTGAGTCCCTGGGTATGACCCTCATTGTCAAAAACCAAACCAAACTAAACCAAACCAAATAAAAAACCTAGTTCAAATTCTAAACTCATGCTGATCACTCCTCTATAACATACCTTATATAACTCATAACATATTTCCTTGTATTTTTATATCATTTTATACAGATAAGAATTAATTATATCTCCAACTAGACAGAAAGTGTCACTGAAGGTAGAGACTTCACCATATCTAGTATTTTACATTGAATCTAACAAGCATACAGTAAATATAGGTTGCCATGTACTTTTTGGGCTGGGGATTTAGCTCAACGGCATAAGCTCCTGCCTTGCAGCAAGCAGTCGTGGGTTTGATCCCTGGTACCGATAAAAAGGAAAAAGACAAAAAACTAAATAAATGTATAAGTCATGTACTTTTTGGCAAACATCTCTCCACAATTCATTTGGAGTGAGAAAGAATATGTGAATTGGTGACAGGATGTGAAATCCAGATGGGTAAAATATATATTACACATAGAGCAGACACTCAATAGATTGCTGCTGGGACAAAGGGACTAGTAGTAGCTTTTATTTCATTTCAAAAGCAACACTGCAGTATAATTCGCAACAGCACAGTATTTAAATGGAAAAATGCATGCACACTTTATTTCAACCAAAGATTAAGTAGTAACTGTAAATACTATTCTATTTAAAACCATCAGAATATACAGATAATGAATAATCCCAAAATAACGTATGCTAAAGATATACTCATTTAATCAAAGGAAATCTTCATATTGTGTTGCTGCTCCTTGAGATGACAATCTTCAAAAACTATTACCTCTTCTACCATCTTTTGTATCATGCCTACAGAGGGAAAAGTCACACAATCAGTAATATGAAGTAAAAATGTTCCAGGAACAGAATAACAGATACTTTCCAATGCATGATTTATAAAACTTTAAATGTCAATTTAATAACTTTAAATTTTAGAAAATACAAAAAATCCATCTAGTTCTTTAGAAACTAAAAACAGTGGATGTCTGTTATTTATCTGCTCTGCCTAGCTTTCATGTAAATAAGAAGTCTATTTGACACTCATATTTTGTGGAAAAAAGTGTTTGCTTACCTTTTTATTCATCACAGCTTAAAAGTACAATGTGAGGTAGTCATTAAATTGAGAGTATAGATTTTGGTGGCTCTTAGGTAACTATAAGCCAATGAATATACTGAGTATGTTTACACTTCTCATCCTTTCTAATGGATTTATTTAACTTGGTGATTCTCAACATTATTCGGGGGGGGCAGTGCATCACAAAATGGCATTAACTTTACCATATAAAATAGCACTTCTTTGCTAGTAAATATAAACTGTTGAAGTAAACATGACAATCTGAGATTTTCAATTAACACACAGAAGTAAAATTGATTATTTGTTTTAGTAATCCTTAATACTTAAAAGGATAAGCAATAACTGGTGCTCAAGAAGAAAGAAAAATTTTCTAGGGGCTGAGGATCTAGCTCAACAGCACAGTGCCTACTGGGCAAGCGTGAGTTCATGAGTTCAATTCCTGGTTCCAAACAACAAACATACAAACTTTTTCAAAACAAAAACTAAAAATATACCTTACATTTTTTCAGCCAACTGAAACAACTCTGATGTTTATTCAATGTTTACAGTATAATATCGCATTCTATTTTACAAGATAGATATCTGTAAGATCACAGTTTAAGAAGAAATGATTTAAATGATGGCTGTCTAACAAAATGCTAGAAAAACAGTGTATGTACTGCCTGGCAAATACATTTCTCCTTTGTTGTAATAACTAATTGCACTGTGTAACTTTTCCTCTAAGTAACATTTTTAATGTGATGGAAGCACAAGTAATAATACAAAAAACCATTAATTTGAGATCACATGTGTCAAGATAAGCATGACCTATTAATTTACTGATTATTTTTATAACAGTTTAAAAAATCAATAAAATGTCATGAAACACAAGTTAGTGTTATTAAAGAACCTTACTATAAACATTTTGGCATATCTTCTAATAAAATTCCCAAGAATATTTCTGTATTAACATACTTTAAATTTTTAGAACTTTTATTAAGAGTAAAAATTGTACCTACACACATAATACCCAGAATTCTGGTTCAATGATAGACATTAATCATTAAATTATACTGGAAGCAAAATGCTAATCGTAGTCAAAATTTTTAGGGGAAAATATGCCATACATATTTTGAAATTATTAAAAGATAATTATGCTAAAATATGAAAATAAAAAACAATTACATTCACAATTTTTAAAATATGGCATGTCCATACAATATAGTGTTATATAACACTATAAACTAATTAAGTACTGATACATGTTACAACATGTAGAGAAAAAAGAACCCTTCTCCACTGTTGGTAGGAATGCAGACTGGTGCAACCACTGTGAAAATCAGTGTGGAGATTCATCAAAAAACTAGGACCCAGCTATTTCCCTTCTGGATATCTTCCCAAAAGAATTAAAAACATCATACCACAATGATATACGTGCACCCATGTTTATAGCAGCACAATTTGTAATATCTAGACATTGAAAACAACCCCTAAATGCTCATCAAGTGAGGAATGGATTAAAAATGATTTAGTATTTTTATATAATGGATTCTTACTTAGCCATAAAGAAGGATAAACCGGAGACTTTTATGGTAAATGAATTCAACTTGAGATCATACTCATTTGTGAAATAAAAATACACATGTAAACACTATATTGTCTCACTAGTGTGAGTAGCTGAAACATTTATATATTTATAGATAGATAAATAGATAGATAGATAAGACAGTTACATTAGTGATTTCTCTGAGTTCACTGAAGAGAAAGATACAAGTTGACAATGTTCAGATAATTCAATGCAAAGATGTTGTGTGCTCTGGGTGAATGATTTAAGAATTACAATGTGCAATGTATGTACCATTGTTGCCCCCGATTGATGTGTATTGAAATTTCATTTTATTTGTTTTATTTTCTTTTTTCTCTTTGAAATAAAATGAATTTGAACAAAAACTAAAAGTCCCCGCACAGAATCTGATCCCATATTAATTTTTTCCACTCATCACTATTCTCCATCTCCTTGGTCCTCCATACATTTATGCTTCATTTTTACCCTTTCCTTCATCCTTTCCTCTCTACTTCTCTTTCCACATCATAGAATATCTGGTGAAAATAGTTGAATGTAAGCTTCAAAGTGTACTAATAAAGGATGACAGTGTAAATGCAACGTCTATCACATATAAGCAAAATGTATGACTGCATCTATACAGACTCCAAATCACTTAAATTAGTCAAAGAGCTAAATACTATCTCAAGAAAACTAAAATTGAAGGCACATCATAGGAAAGCAGTATCTTACTAAAAATATCTTCATATCAATTATAAGCTCTCCACATTATATAAGACCTTGTCAACAGTCAGCACCAGGAGGGAAAAAAAACCCAGATATATACACACACAAGATCATGGAAAAACAAGGCAAAAAAAGGCCTTGAAGGGCCTCCATCTCTCCCAAGGTACATCCAGGAAACAAAAACGGAGAGGAAAGCAAACACCAGATTGCAGAGCAATATGAATTGTTGAAGAAGAGACAAAGAAATCTGACAACCTCAAAGAGGACACAATGTAAATGTGTATAGAATTGTCATACAAAATGACAATAAAATATTGAGGAAAACAAATACAAAATTAGAAGAGTTGAATGACAAATTTTCCAAAGGTAGAGAATCAAAGAAAAGATATCACACAGAAACTCCAGATATAAAAATCTATAGAATTTTGAAACTGCAGAAATGATCAATGTCAAGGCAAGATTTCTGAAACCAAGGATAAAATGCTAAATAAATCATGAGCAAGTATTCACAGAATCTTCAAAAAGGATGAGAACAAGAAAAAGTCATTAATAATCTAGTAGGTAAACTTGGAAGTTTATCCTAAGGCTAATTTGAGTTAGAGAGAAACCAAAAGACAGCAAACATGGAATAAAAAATTTGTTTCTCAAAATAGTAGTAGAATACTTCCCAAATTTGAGAAAAGATTTCAGTTTATAAATAAGCTAGGCTTATAGAACACTGATCAACTATGATGACAAATGAAGCCCTGAAGACACATCACAATTAAAATACCAGATCTCCAACAATGGTATTTTAAAAGCAATCAGAGAAAAATAAATAACCACATAATACAGGTATAAACACATTAGAATTATGGAAGACCTCTCAACACAAACTAACAGCCAAAGGAGCTTGGAGTGAAGTGGTCCAAGCCCTAAAAGTAAGCATCTTGCAACCCAGAGTAATATGCCCAGAAAAGTTTTCTTTCAATATAGATGAAAAAGGATATTTCATGAAAAGGAACAATTCAAGAGATTTATGAATTCCAAATCAGTACTCCAAAAAATACTCATAAATCTCCTATATAGAAATCATGAAAGCAACAAAACCAAAAATCTAGGTGGAATGAATACACAAAGCATGGTGAATAAATAAATAAGAAAAAGGTAGGAAAGGAAAAACAAAGCTTCCAAAAATAGAGATCAAATCATCAGGAATTAATCAATACCTCTCAGTAATAACTCTCAATTTTAATGGCCTTAACACTCCAATTCAAAGAACAGATTTGCAGACTGGATTAAAAAACACAACCAATTTGTTGCATTCAAGTATATCATCTTATGTATTATTCCTAACCTTTTTTCTGCTTCTTTTTTTTCCAAATAAAAAAAAGAATATCATCTAATTCAAAATGATCTTCATAGACTAAAAATCACATCATGGAAAACAAAATTTCATGCACTAGGACACAAAAATAAACAAGGGAGCAATTCTAATCTCAAAGCCAAAACTTGAAGCTAAAACTTAGCAGAATAGACAAATAAGGATACTATATAGTAGTATAATCCAACAAGAGGAAATATTGCTGGTAAATGTATATGTAGCAAGTGTTGGAGCACCTATCTTCATAAAACAAATACTGCTGGATATAAAATATCAAATAAATACTAACAGTCATAGTGGGTGACCACCGTATCCTATTTTTGGAAAGAAATAGATGAACTAAACAAAGTATCAATAAAAAAATGTCAGAGCTGAATCACACCCTTGAACATACAGATTTAAACTTTACAGAATGTTCTACTCTACAACAGAGTACATATTCTTCCCTGAAGCACATGGAACATTCTCCAAAATAGATCATACACACAAAATACAAAAAGCCTGCTTAAATAAATATAAAAGAATCAAAATCACCATATGTTTGCCAGCAGACCAGTGTGTAATGAAATTACGTCAACAAGAAAGAGAAAACTGAAGAAAACTTACAAACACTTAAAGACTCAATAACATACTCCTGAACAGTCAATGAGTCAAAGAAATCAAGGATTTCTCAAAGAACTAAAATTAGAAATTCTATTTGAACTTGATGTCTTCATAAAAGAATGAGACATTGTACTACCAGAATATGTGTATATCAATGTTTATAGCAAAAAAATTCTTAATAGCTAAATCTTGGAAGCAGCCTATATGGCCTTCAGAAGATAATTGTATAGAGAAAATATGGCATTTATCCATAATGGAATACTATTCAGCTATAAAAAAGTAGGAAATAAATAACCTCGAAAATTTAATGTTAAATGAAATAAATCAGACACACAACCTTAAAAACCATATGGTATCTCTCATTTGATAAGGTAAAGTACAAGTAAAACGCAAAAAAAGGTTTTATTAAGGAAACAAAGACATAGACCATTTGAAAATGGGAAAGAGTTCAGAAGAATGAGAGCAAGAGGAGGGAAGGGGAAATAAAATGATTTAAGATA